CGTTAGAAATCAATAGAAAAAGAAAGCATTTGAAAACTTATTAGTTTAATGAATCTACCTTGAGGAAGTTGGTAGTTTCCATCAAGAAGGCCAAGTCCGTTACCAATCATCGTATCTTTAGTAGGATCATCCGACCTCCAAAGCCAAGTAGCGACCGGAACACGTATAAACATTCGATTAAGATCGAATCTCTCTTCTACCGCCGCCATTACATGTATACCTCGATTGATCATTCTATGAATAGCATCAATGAAATCCCCATCCGAGGAAATCACTAAGATATTTGGCGTTGTAAATGCTTCCATGTACATTTTCAACATGGCATATTTGTCCGCTACGTCAGTCTTCCTTAATGATTTGTACTTGAAAAAAAAAACTTTATCATGAGGAAATCTGTATTGATATTTTCAAAATATTATGTATTTTGAAAAATAACCCATATTTTAAAAAATTAACCTTCTTACAATGAAATAATCATAATAAATTATGATTAACATTATCCAACAAAATTTTTTTTTATAATATCCGAACTAAAAGAAATGATGATTTATTAAAATCTGATTTGAGCTTAGTTTTATTTGTATCATAAATAAAGTCTTTGTAAATCACATAAGCTTTAAGAAAAATAAAACGTAATCTAATAAAATGTAATCTTTATTCAAATTTTATAAAGTTTTTAGACTATTAAACAAAAACTCTAAAAAGATAAAAAAATAAAAATAAAAGGCAAATTGAGAGGGAAAAACAATTTTAACCTCTGGTAGGTTGACCTACAACCACCGGATTCAGATTCAGACAAGCAAACATATCACAAAGCATGGTTTCTTGAGGGATTCGAATAATTTCGAAATCCTGTGATCGCGAGTTTATTTTATCATATCTACGTCCCTCGCCCGGCCCAACCGCTACCACTTTCCGTAAAACCAAATGTTGGTTATATTGATTCAAAGAATTTCCAATGAACGATTTTAGGTTGCAAATTTGATAAGAATGTGGCAACTTCGAGCTCTCAAAGTCCCAAACTCCTATGACATCATGAGGAGAAGAAACACTTAAAGAAGAAGAAAAAGGTTTTTTGCTCTTAACAACTTTTACGGGAGAGATATTAGAAGAAGAGGAAGCTTTTCCTTTATTCATTGCTGTGAAATTAGAGAGGAGGAAAGAACCCTTGATAAAAGAAAGACCGATTACTTCTGGAAAGATACTCAAGTTCATTATATAAAGTTCTCGAATGGGCTTTAAATAAAAAAACCTATAAGCCTAAATATATGCAACCACTGCCTAATTATATGAAACTTGTATAGAGAGATATAAAACCTGAAATTTCTGACTCAATGCTCCACATAGAAAGTGATCTGGGTCCCAATTCTTTAGTGGAAGCGTTTTGTTGTGTGAAACGCCCGCAATTTGATAAAAAGGTATTTGTTTTTGTTTGTTTTTTGTCGTCGATAAAAAGGTATTTGTAAGTATGTGATTTTGTAAATAAGCCATTCGTGTCTATTTACAAAAATACCACTAATTATAAATTTTTAAAATCTAAATCTTAAAATTATAAATCCTAAAAATGTTTTGACCCCTAAACC